CATACTAAAATCCTCTTAAAGGGATCTCTTTGCTTGCCTTGCATGCATGAGGCATTGGGTTCAATTCCTCAGCACCACATAAGCAGAAAAAGCCAGAAGTGGTGCTGTGGCTCAAGTGGTAGAGCACTAGCCTTGAGCTGAAGAGCTGAGGGACAGCTCTCAGGCCCAGAGTTTAGGCCCCACAACTGGCAAAAAAAGAAAAAAAGAAAAAAAAAAGAATTCAATAGCAAGTACCAGTGACTGGAATTCTAGGTACCTGGGAGGCTGAGCTGTAAGGACTTCGGTTCAAAGTCAGCCAATGTAGGAAAGCTCATGTGATTCTTATCTTCAATTAACTACCAAAAAGCTGGAATTAGAGTTGTGGTTCAAGTGGTAGAGCTCTAGCTTTGAGAGAAAACAAAAACAAAAAAAACAAAAACTAAGGGACAGGCAGAACACAGTCCCTGAGTTCAAGTCCCAGGACCAGCAGAAAAGCAAAAGGGGGAGGGAGGGAGGGAAGGAAGGAAAGAAGAAAGGAAGGAAGGAAGGGAGGAAAGGAGGGAGGGAAGGAAGGGAATTGAAGGGAAGGGAAGGGAAGGGAATTGAAATGAAGGAAAAGGAGGGAGGGAGGGGAAGAGAGAAAGAAGAAAGAAAAGAGAGAGAGAGGGGAAGAGGGAAGAGAGGGAAAAGAGAAAGAGAGAAAGAAAGAAAAGAGAGAGGGAGGGGAAGGAGGGAAGAGAGGGAAAAGAGTTGAAAAGAGAAAAAAATTCATCAATAAACCAGGCACCAGTGGCTCACGCCTGTAATTCTAGCTACTCAGGAGTCTGAGATCTGAGGATCACGGTTCAAAGCCAGCCCAAGCAGCAAAGTCCATGAGACTCTTATCTCCAATAAACCACCAGAAGACTGGAAGTGGCGCTGTAGCTCAAGTGGTAGAGCGCTCGCCTTGAGCAGAAGAGCACAAGCACAGTGCCCAAGCCCAGAGTTCAAGCCCCATGTCCGACAAAAAAAAAAAAAAATTCATCAATAGCTTGTGGAACAAAAGCTCTTGGAACAACTTTAAAAAAAAAAAAAACTAACCTGAAGTCAGTTCTTTCACATAATATATAATTAGGGCAAAGACATTTATTTTAATTCTATTTGTTGAAAGTTTCCTTCACACAATAGCCTACAGGTACTTAGACATCTAAGGGAAGACAGTGTATGTTACACTGGGAAAAATAAGGTGGAGACTATGATAATGTTAGTCAACAAAAATTTCTATCTGCTCAATGTTCAGAGCCCAAAGGGCTTCTTCATAGTGGAATACCAAATTTTGCAACAGGACTCTCCTAAACTCGTTACAATGTAGTCCGTTTTGAAAGGGGAAAGGACAAACTGAGCCATACTAGGTAGGGTGTAATTTAAAAATCGTAAGAGTCAATAAGGACTAGAGCCTTGGGTAAGCAAACTCTGAAAGAAATACAAAGAAATTCAAGGCTTTACTTCTGTCTAAACTTGTCTGATCCTCTTAAGTCTCAAAATTACTCTGTTCTTTCATGTTTCTATCAGCTGTCCAAATCATGACAATAAAAGAAAACTGGAATAAAACAATTTGTCCACATAGATAAAGTTTAAAATAGGCGGGGAAAGCCAGAGGTGGTGCTGTGGCGCAAGTGGTAGAACACAAGCCTTGAGCACAAGGAGCTTCAGGAACAGTGCCCAGCCCAAGCAAAAAATAAACTACCTAGCCCTAACTTGGAACCTACTGGGCACTTCGTAGACATAGAACGTTTTCCTGGGACAACAAACTAATTTAAAGAACTTGAGTGAGGGCTGGGAAGGTGGCTTGGTGGTAGAGTGCTTGCCTTGCATGCATGAGGCCCTGAGTTCGATTCCTGAGCACCACATAAGCAGAAAAAGCCGGAAATGGTACTGTGGCTCAAGTGGTAAAGTGCTCCCCTTGAACTGAAGAGCTGAGGGACAGTGCCCAGGCCCAGAGTTCAGGCCCCAGGACCGGCAAACACAAAAAAAAAAAAAAAAAAAAAAAGAACTTGAGTGAATGATAAAAGCTTTCAAAAATTAAAGAGATTTTGGGCTGGGAAGGTGGCTCAGTGGTAGAGCGCCTGCCTTGCATGCCTGAGGCCCTGGGTTCGATTCCTCAGCACCACATAAGCAAAAAGAAAAAAGCCGGAAGTGGCACTGTGGCTCAAGTGGTAGAGCACTAGCCTTGAGCTGAAGAGCTGAGGGACAGTGCCCAGGCCCAAAGTTCAGGCCCCACGACCGGCCCAAAAAAAAAAATTAAAGAGATTTTTTTAAATGTCTAAAAATGCTCTCAGAAAATCAGCATCAATCAAATCAAATTGCTGGCACAAAAAGAATCATGTCTATCTGGTAGATGATTTCCTCCTGGTACTTGAAACCCTAAGAAAGGTTTGAGGAAAGAGAAAGAACTGTATAGCTGAGGTTGAAATTTTACCAACTAGTTCAACTTTGGGATACAACTATCACTAATGCCATTACAGTACTACAGAAGTTTCATAGCCTTTTGATATTAAAATGCTCATGGGTGAAAGGCTACAAAACCAAAATTGTTGATCATCACAACCTTCCAAGGAGATCATCTAGGCAAAGTCTTTTGTTTTTCCTACCCTCTAAAATAAAGTTCTCTTCTCACCATTAAAGATATGCCAAAAAGCAATGTTGTTTCTCCAGAAAGAAAAATCTTCCTAGCTACCCAGCATAAATCTTAGGTCTGAGACAAGTCCTTCTAGCTGTCCTTACAGAGTCACTGAGGTCTCCTTTATAGTATCTAGTTTACTGCGAAGTTCTGCTTTAGAAACCACAAAAGAGGGTTGCAAAGGTGGCTCAATGGTATAGCACTTGTCTTGCATGCATGAAGGCCTGGGTTCGATTCCTCAGTACCACATAGACAGAAGGAGCCGAAAGTGGGCACTGTGGCTCAAGTGGTAAAGCACTAACCTTGAGCTGAAGAGCTGAGGGACAGCGTCCAGACCCCGAGTTTAAGCCCCATGACCGACAAAAAAAAAAAAAAAAAGAAACCACAATAAAGGCAAAACCACCAACTATATTTTTGCATATACAAATGGTAGATCACATTAGCTTTAATCTCCTACAAAATTATTTTAGTTTTGTAATAGAGTGATCTAAAACTTTATAATAGATTTATAATGTTATATTTTCACTTTAAGGCTAAAAATGAACATCTGTATCCAAAGTTAACTTCCAAGGTCCTTACCCGCTGGTATGACAACTAAAAAAGCTATTATCAGAAAACACCAGACACAGATTTTGCATTAATCTAGAAAGAAAGTAATCAGTATGCCCATGTACAAGAAATCAAAAGGTCATTATTGCATTCTGTATCTGTAAGCTCTATCCCCCACCCCACCTACAAAAAAAGACAAAAGAATGTACTGCCAAAGAATACCAGAAAACAGCACATAATACATTAGTGAGAATTGAAAGAATAATCTGCTTACAGAAAGGACAGAAACAAAGTATAAGAGCTCCAAACATATGCTTTGTTGAGTTTCTTGAAGTGAGAGACGAGAAAACAACGATTAGATAGCAGAGTAAGACTGTGAAGAAGGACAGAGGGCACAAGATGAACAAGAAGTGATGGACTCTTCTATAAGGCCAGATTTTCAAGATACCGTCCTCTTTACAAACTCAGGTGTTTTACACGACATAGACTGACAGTTGTGGAAACTACAATTATAATAACATGTTTAAAAATATATATATATATTAAAACTTCATATGGGCAAATACCATCATGGAGAAAGAGGTGTTGAAAGAAAGCATACACAATACAGATGCAGTAATATAAGAGAAATACAAAACTGCAGGAGAATGGAAACAATGAGAGCTATACCACCTACAACCACTATAGGAATTGTAATGCAAAGTACAAAATTACAAATATAGATTAAGGGTAGTGGAGGAAGTCCGCATAGAAACTGCAAGACAAGGCAGCATCTTAGGAGTGTTAAGGGATGTGATGGAGAAGTAAAGCTGAGTAATATGATAGGGGCCAACACTGCAGCAGTGGGGGGTAGGTGGGTTGCAGCAGGAGCCTTAAAGAGGGAAGGGAAAGCAAACTAGAGGTGGGGGGGAGGGAGATAAAGTAACATGGAATAGGAGAAATAATGGAGTTGGGCATGCTGCTTTAAAAAAAAAAAAAATGCAGATGTCCAAGAGCTAAAAGGAGAATGTAGTTTGGGGATAAGTAGGAGCTAGAAGGGCTCTACCACAAACCTGATGCAAAATAAAAGTGTCAGTATGGCTCAGGAGTGACGATACGGGCCAGAAGAGGGATGCCCTGAGAGACATACGTTGATTGGGACACCAGGTTCAAAATCAGGGTGTTAATATCGAAATTACAGAGGAAACTACAGCATCAAAGCCTGCCCCGCAAGAGGTCGGCAAGGGTCAGCAAAGATGGCATACTCTTGAGGGTATGAAAACAAAAAGAAACGGAAGGACAAGAAGTGGATGTTGAACATGCGAAGGAGCGTTTAACCCGTACGGGAAAGAAGAAGGAGCAGAGCGGATAGGGTCGCTGTTTCCGGAAGAAAAGTGCGAGCACGCCACAGGGTCCTGCTTTGGTCTAGAGGACAGAAGGGACAGTCCACCGGGACTGAGGGGAGTGGCGGAGAACAGGAAACTGATGCTCAAGCGAACTTGGGGAGGACCCAGCGCTGGCTGGGGTCCGGAAAGGAGATGCCGTTCCTAGGGAGGAAAACGGGGGGGGGGGGGGGGTAGTGAGCGGCAGAAACCCGCGTGTCAAAAGGAGAAATCAAGGCGGCGGGGGGGGGGGGGGGGGGGGCGCGCGAGATCATCTTAATGCTGCAAGGGAGCAGGGGTTACAAAACAACAACAGAACTGGGGGGGGGGGGGGCGCCAGGACCAAGAGGCGGCGGCGGGGCCGTCAGGCCTAAAGGGGGCGGGGGTTGCCGGGGCCCGCGCGAGGGCTGGGGTGACAGGCAGGGCGGGGCGGCGGCCGCCGCGATACTCACACCTCCAGGATGCGGTCCCCTTTGCGCACCCCGGCCCGGTCGGCCGCCCCTCCGGGCAGCACGGCGCTCACATGCTGCAGCGGCGCGTACAGCTCCCCGTTGATGCTCCGCAGTTGCCCGCCCTCGCTCACTTGGCCCCGCACGTTGAAGCCATAGCCGGATTCGGACTTGACGATGCGCACGACCCGGGGGCCGCCGCCTCCCCCGCCGCCGTTACCGGCGCAGTGGAGCCCAGACCCGCCGCCGCCGCCGCCGCCGCCGCCGCCGCCGTTTCGGTGAGGGGCTGAGGGGTGAATCCCTTCCCCGTCCTCGTCCGCCATCTTGCGAGCAAGCAAGCTGTACCCCCGCCCCCCCCCCCCACGCCTCCACTCCTCCCGGCGCGCGCTCGCCCTTCACGGCAACCGCGCGACCCCCCGACGCGCGCGCCCGCCCCGCCGGCCGCGGAAAGTCGGCCCCGGTGCAGCCGGCCGGCGAAAGAGGAGCGAGGGGGGCGGGGGAAGCGAACGGTTGTGCCTCCCTTGCGAGGCCTTCTGGGAAATGTAGTTCCGAGCTGTGTGGCCGGAGAGAGCCGAAGCCTGCGTCGTGCGCAAAGCCTGCTGGAAATTGTAGTTTATCACTCTCAGGAGGTTCATCAGTTGGATGATATCTAACTCAGCACTGTGTCTTACTATAGGTTCTAAAGCTGAAGCATGAGTTTCTTCCTTTTTCCTTTCAATTAATAACCTCTAAAAACAATTACGTTGGCTAGCTAGGGGTGTAACAGCGGTGGTGTGCTTGTTAAGCATTCCTGCTAAGCCTTGGATTCAATCCCCAGCAAAGAAGGAAAGAAAGGGGGAGAGGGGAGAGGGAGGGAGGGAAGGATTTAAAATATTAGGATTAGCTGGGCGCCCGTGGCTCACTCCGGTAATCTTAGCCACTGAGGAGGTTGAGATCTGTTGAGATCTGAGGATCGTGGTTCAAAGCCAGCCTCGGCAGGAAAGCCCTAGAGACTCATCTCCAGTTAAAACACCCAGGAGCCAGAAGTAGAGGTGTGGCTTAGTCAAGCACTAGCCTTAAGCACAAAATTGCTCAGGGACAGCGCCCAGGCCCTGAGTTCAACACACATAAACACAGACACACACAAAATAAAAATACTAGGATTAGCTGATATCTGTGGTTCAACACGATATTAAATTTGCTTAAAGGGCTGAGTAAATTTCATTTTATCTGATAGTCCAACAACCTAGTAAGAAAACAGGATCGAAAAATCAGTTTCCTATTTCACATATTAGGAAACAGAGCCTTAGAGCACTCAAAGTCAACAGCAATTAAGTAACAGGAACTAAGGCTTAGCCATTTTTTGCGCAATATTCTTTTCATGTATTGAGGCTACATAAAAACTATTGCTCAAACTATACAAAAAAGTTTATGTAGAGAGGAAACTACAGTATCTAATTTAAAAGTGGATATTAGAGTGATCAAGTAATTTCAATTGAGCAGTAATTTTGAAGTTACATTTATTTCAAATTCATTTTATTTTCCCCTAATAACTTAATAGAATTATTTGCAAATGGCAGCAACTTATGTTATTGGCTCCCTACCAAGACAGACATGAACATTGTGAAGAGTGAGAAATAAAAGAAAACAGATGTCTGGTGCCTGTGTCTCACTCCTGTAATCCTAGCTACTCAGGAGGATGAGATCTGAGGCTCACGGTTCAAAGCCAGCCTGGGCAGGTAAGTCCATGAGACTCTTGTTTCCAATAAACCACCAGAAAGCTGGAAGTGGCACTGTGGCTCAAATGGTAGCTAGTGAGCTTGCCTTGAGCTAAAAAGCTCATAGATAACGCCCAGGCCCAGAGTTAAAGCCCAGGGACAAGAGATAAAGAGAGACCGACAGAGAGAGAGAGAGACAGAGAAACAGAGAGAGGGGAGGGGGAGGGGAAGGGAGGGGGAGGGAGGGGGTGAAGGAGGGAGAGGGGGAGGAGGGAGGGGGAGAGGGAGGGAGAGAGGGGAGAAGAGGAGGGAAGGGGGGAGGGAGGGAAGAGAAGAGCTAACTTAAGCATTTACTACTCCAGTCTGACATTTGATTTTCCCCAACTTTTAAGTCTAAAAGTTAGTCTGTTATGGCCTCTAGTCACAAAATTCTTGGGTCTGAGACAAAGGACTATTACTCAGGACACAGGAAACAAGGAACTTCTGCATGTTTGTACCAGTTCCTCTTACCTCCCTCCACCCCAAGTACCTCCTGGAATAAAACACAAAGGCTCAAATAAATCTTGGGTGTTTCATGGATTTGCATCACAGAGAAGGGCAATGAATTCAGAAAATGCTACCTCAAAGTGGTAAGTAAACCTGTTCTTTGTCCTGAGAAGACATTACTCCATCTCTCAAGGTTGCTTGTTACAAAAACAACCCCACAACCTTAAGAAATGAGAAGTCAGAGCACTGTCTTGAAAGGCTAAGATCCCAAGAGCTTATTTAGCTTTCTTCTCAAAATCTATTTGTGGCTCACATATGTAATCCTTGCTACTTGAGTGGATGAAATCTGTGGATTCCAGTTTGAAGCCAGTCCTTGACAATAAATCTGAGAGACTCTTCTCTCCAATTAGCTAGCAAAAAGCCAAGAGTGGAGGTGTGGCTTAAATGGCACCGCCCCAGCCTTGTCAAAAAGCTAAGCAGTGGAGCTGGGAAGGTGGCTCAGTGGTAGAATGCTTGCCTTGCATGCATGAAGCCTTGGGTTCGAGATTCCTCAGCAGAAAAAGCCGGAAGTGGCACTGTGGCTCAAGTGGTAGAGCGCTAGCCTTGAGCTGAAGAGCTGAGGGACAGCGCCCAGGCCCAGAATTCAGGCCTCACAATGGGCAAAAATAAATAAATAAATAGAAGCTAAGCAAGAGTACAAGGCCCTGAGTTCAAGCTCCACTCTACACAATACACACAGACATATACACACCATTAGTATATACAGGAAAATTAGGAGAAGCTTGAAGGGCTTCCTTTCTCAACATTACTATGTGCCAAATAACACTTTAAACACTTAAGCCTCCATCTCAGTAAATCATTAAACACTATTATGTCCCCACTTTTACAGATGAATAAAAATGAACAGAGAAATTACACAACTAAAAAGTAATGAATCCAGAAATGGAACTGAAAGAATTCAGGAGCTATGTTAAAATTTTCCGGGAATTGCTGGTGGTGCAGATCAAAAGGATTAAGAGATGTCACAAAAGGTGGGGTAAGGATACAAAGTCATTACACCATAACATTAAAACAAAATATAGAGTGGGAGTTGGGTGCCAGTGGCTCACGCCTATAATCCTAGTACTCAGGAGCCAGCCAGGATAGGAAAGTCCATGATATTCTTATTTCCAATAACCAGCAAAGAGAGGAAAATAGAGATATGGCTCAAGTGGTAGAGTGTTAACTTTGAGTGAAAAAAACAAAGGGACAGAGTCCAAGCCCTGAGTTCAATCCCTAATGCTCACATACACACATACACAAAGAAATAATTTTACTTGAAAGCTGGGCACCAGTGGCTCACGCCTGTAATCCTAGCTACTCAGGAGCCTGAGATCTGAGGACAGCAGTTCAAAGCCAGCCTGGGCAAGAAAGTCCATGAGGCTCTTATCTCCAGTTAACCACCAGAACCTCAGAAGTGGTGCTGTGTCTCAAGTGGTAGAGTGTTCCTTGAGCTAAAGAGTTCAGGGAGCCGGGCGCTGGTGGCTCACGCCTGTAATCCTAGCTACTCAGGAGGCTGAGATCTGAGGATCGCGGTTCAAAGCCAGCCCGGGCAGGAGAGACCGTGAGACTCCTATCTCCAATAAACCACCAGAAAACCGGAAGTGGCGCTGTAGCTCAAGTGGTAGAGCGCTCGCCTTGAGCTGAAGAGCTGAGGGACAGCGCCCAGGCCCAGAGTTCAAGCCCCACGACCGACAAAAAAAAAAAAAAAAAAAAGAGTTCAGGGATAGCAACCAGGCCCAGAGTTCAAACCTCACAACAGACAAAATAAATAATAATTTTAAATGTTGGGGACATGGCTCAAGTGTTAGAGTGCTTGTCTAACAAATGCACAGACCTGGAGTACAATTCCTAATACCACACCCAAAAAAGTTATTTTGCTTCAAAATAATATTGGTGTTTGTTTTCAATACCATCATTTAGTTTGAATTGAATCCTAGATGGGTAAGACACATTTATACTAAAGCAAGGGGTTAGAGAAAGGGAGCATTTGCTATAAGAGATCATTTTTTCATTTGCTTATTTAATAAAAATAAATTGAATGCCTGCTCTGTTCTATGCTCTGTAATAGTGGCTAGAGATGCAGTGTTACCTTAGATAATACCCGCAGATTCAATGTGAACAATAGTACAAGATCAAGGTTATAAATGCACATGGCTCTGGGTCCAGGAGTTCACTTCCAGGAGTTCAGTGCTAAACTTGCAATGATGTTTTTTATGAAATGACTTTTTTGTGTGTGAAGTTCAATCATTATAGTATTGTTGCTATTCACAAAAGATGGAAACAACCTAATAGTCCTTGGTTAAGTTATGGGCACATCCATAATGGAATCACTCTAGACAAGAACTCTTTCTACACTGCAATGAAATGATCTCATGGAGAATACACAGTTAAATGAGAAAAGGGTTCCACACAGATTACAGAACACAATACCATTTGTGTATAAAAGAGGACCTGTAGCCCAGCATTACAGGCTCACACCTGAAATTCTAGCTACTCAGGAAGCTGGGATCTGAAGATCACAGTTCAAAACTAGCCCTGGCAAGAAAGTGGACTAGTCTTTTATCACCAATTAACTACCAAAAAGAAAAAAAAGCCAGAAATGGTGCTGCAGCTCAAGGTGGTAAAGCACTAGCCTTAAGCACAAAAGCTAAGGGATAATGCATGGGCCCTGAGTTCAAGCCCCAGCACCAGCACACACACACATACACACACACACATACACACACACACACACACACACACACACAAAAGAGGTACTGTATATATTTGTATTGTTGGAAATACTACAAGAAGCATGTCTACAATCCCAGGACCAGGAAGCAGAGACAGGAAGATGGAGTATTCAGGGCATACTTGGGCTATGCAGTGAGTTGGAGGGCAGCCTAAGACCTTGTCTTAGAAAAAAAAAAGAAAAAGAAAAAAGGTTTTTTCCCCCCATTGGCTGCAGGGAGGTTGAGCAGAGACAAGACTTTATTCTCTAACTTCTGAATTTTTAGGTAGATGAGTATATTACCTATTAAAAAAGTAACTAAAATATTCAGGAAGGATCAGACTCAAAATGTCATAAAGAACTCTCAGACTAGCCAGGCACCAGTGGCTCGTGCCTGTCATCCTAGCTACTCAGGAGGCTGAGATGTGTGCATCATGGTTTGAAGCCAAGTCCAGGCAAGCAAATCTGAGACATTCTCCAATTAACCAACAAAAAGAGCTCC